ATGCACAAATAAATATGTACATATTCACCAAAGAATTTAAAATAAAGCAATGTCAACATTCAGTACTAGAAACCATTACAATTACATATGCAGAAGACGCAACTTTAAATTTACTTTAAACTTCTCCAGTTATATAAGGAGATCGCATTAAATGTGAAAGATCTTGAGAATATAGAAGTATGTCGAGATATAGTGAATATATCTGGAAAACGAATAATTCTGTTGGAGTGGATTATATTATCAAGAGGAATTGATTTCCGTTTCAAGTATAAGGGTTTCTTATTGGGCATTGTTTTATTAACAATTGTAAGTTATAAATATTTGAATAAATCCAGTTTATAGCCGTAATGAGGCCTGATGTGTGACCATTGTTGTTGTTTACTTGTTTATCAGACGACAATGTTGGATATTCTGCAAATGTTTTGCTATATACGTTATATTGGTCTTGGCAGGAATAGTATATAATAATAATAATAATAATATTTATTCGCCAAAATACAAAAAATGGGCAAATAAATATAAAAAAACCACAGAAGGCATCGCCTGCGTGTGGTTTATATCTTAATAACTAACATTCAATCATATATGTGTATAACAATTATTGTTAAATTTAAAAGGTATTAATGTAATTGGAATTTTGTAGTTTTAGTTTTCTATATAATTATGTATAGTCATTCGCTGCACATTACTAACCCAGTCTTTCAATTTTCTTCTAAATTTTTTTCCAAAATTAAGTATCTTTATTTCGTTTGGTACTACATTATATAATTTAGCTGCCAAGAATTTAAATGATTTTTTGAATAATGTTTTGTGTTGTCTTTGGATATTAGATGAGCCTATTCGAAATCGTGTGTTATGCTCGTGTTTATAGGATTTTTTCTTTTTATTACAATGCTTATGGTATAAGGTGGTGGCATGTAAGAAATAAAGTTGTCTTGTATCAAGTATCCCTATTTCTTGATATAAGTTGTTCGTTGGATATAATCTTTGCTTATGGAAAATGGCTTTCAAAACAGTTTTTTTGTGCTATATTCAGGTCAGAAATATATGTCTTGCAGGCGGCACCCCAGGCTGTGATGCCGTATATTATATGGGTTTCAACTAAGGCATGGTATAGGATTCGCAGATAACTTTCTGTAAGAATGTTAGCAAGCATTTTGAGTTTATAGTCAACATTTCTAACTTTTTTGATAACATATTTAATATGGTTATCCCACCTTAGATGTGAGTCTATAAATATTCCAAGATATTTCAAAGTGTTAACTCTATCGATTTTGGTCTTTTGGCCATGATAATTAACGGAAATTTGTTCGAAGGTAGGTAAAAATTTTGCATAAGATGTAAATGCAATAAATTTTGATTTTTGAAGTTAACTGTTAAAATTTTAGTATCAAACCAGTCAATGATCCTTATAAAATCCTTTTCAGCTATTTGCTTCAGTGTGTTCCAGTCATCAGCTTTATATAATACGAGGGTGTCATCTGCAAAACATATAATCTTTCCAGAAATGTTAATTTTGAATAAGTCATTTAAGTAGAGACTAAATAATAGTGGGCCTAGTACTGTTCCTTGAGGCACACCACACTTGATGTACATTTTTTTACTGTAAGTGTTAGTGATTTTGACAGTCTGTGCCCGACTTGAAAGGTAATTTTTTAAAAGGATTTGTGACGCTCCCCTAAATCCCAATCTTTCCATAACTTTCAGAAGCTCGACATGGTTAACCGTATCAAAGGTATTTTTTAGATCAACAAAGATACCAATAGTAGGTATCTTTTTGTTGACATTAGAGTTAATTTCATCCATTGCAGCCAAAATTGCATCTGTAGTAGATTTTCCTTTTCTAAATCCATATTGGTCAGAACATATAATTTTGTTTTTGTCCAAAAATTGTAATATCCTTTTTTGTAGTAATTTTTCGAAAATTTTGGCTATATTCGATAGTACTGATATGGGTCTATAATTTAATGTTTCCATTCTGTCACCGCTTTTATAAACAGGAGTAATAACAGTTGTTTTAAATGCATCAGGACAAATTCCAGATTGGAAACACCAATTAATGACGTAAAGTCGTAGGCTATTATTTTTAAATGGTCGGCTTTGATACCATCTACACCAGGACTTTTTTTGGTTTTAAGTGATAGGACAGCTTCTTGTACTTCAATCGGACTGACGCTTTCTAAAAAGAATGAATTGGGAAGTTGGGTTTTTGTGAACTTTTCGTTCGAAACCATTTTTTTAATACTGGATGCTAAATTTTCTCCAACATTAATGAAAAAATTTAAGAATGCATCGGATATTCGTCGTTTATCTGTTAATATTGTTCCATCACGATTCTTAATTTCATCAATATTTGACTTTTCTTGAACGTCTTTGTTAGTTAAGTGATCGACAACCGACCACAGTTTTCTTGGATCAGATTTGGCATCTTGTATTTTTTTTAGATAGAATTGGCGTTTTGCTTCTCTAACTAGATTGATAAAAATATTTTTATATTCTTTATATTTATGGGAGGTACTATATCTGCACATGGCGATGCTTTCATTATTTTGTATAGTTCCTCTTTTTTGTTGGCAGACTTTATCAAACCTTTAGTTATCCAGGGATTCCTGCTTCTGTCAAAATGTTTAATTTTAACTCTGTTTGTACTACATTCAATTAAATATTTTATGCGTTCAATGAGTGTGTTTGCAGCATCATTAAAATTCGTTGCACATTACACTGCTATCCACGATTCTAATTTGATATTTGCAAGTAGTTTTTTATTATCGACAAAACACCTAAATTTCACTGTTTCATTATTGGAGATGGATCTACTTTTATTTTTTTCTGGTGATGATATAAGTATTACAGTGGGTAAATGATCGGTAATATGGTTTTCAGCAATTAACGGTATGTACGGAAAGAAATTTGAAAATTTTTTGATGAAACAATGATCAATGTAAGAACTGGAACTATTATTGACTACTCTTGTTGGTAAATTTATATTTGATATGAATCCATTGCTCTGCATTACAGTGAGGTATTTATTTACTAATTTGGTATGTTGGAGTATATTAATATTCATATCTCGTATTATGATGTGGTGTGACTGTATGGCATTTTTGTTATCTAACAAAAATTTTTCAAGATTTTCTACAAATGTATAAGGGTTTGATGATGGTGGTCGAGAGACAGATGTGACTTTTACACTTTTGTTATTAATTCTCAATATCAAATCCAACACTGTGATACCGTCATCAAATTTAACAAAATCACATCTGTAGTTGATATCATTTCTTACATATACTACCACCCCATCATTCTGGTTGTATGTACCATTATTGTAAAGCGTATCATAACCTCCCAAACAGAACAAAGATACATCATTAATTTTCCAAGTTTCTGTTAATATTATTATATCAAATTTGTGTTTAATTGTAGTTAGGAAGATATTAAAACAGTCAAAATGTTGGTTTAGGCTTCGTATATTCATGTGATATAAGCTAACATTGAAATTAGAATATTCTAACCATTTATTAAGAGCATTTGCGTCTTGAGCAATATTTGTATTGATATCATTAACCTGAAAATTATTTACGTAACTATCCATGTAAAATTTTGCAAATGATATGTAGCTCGAAAAACGTACATATAAAAAGAACTAAACGCTCAAAACATTATTCTGGATGAATACTGTTTTTGAAAATATAAATACGACGGGCATTTTTTGTCTGTGGGCGAGTGACCAACATCATTATTCTTATTATGCTTAACGTTATAGTTCATACAGTTAGAACATTTTAAAATGTTTACAGTACAAATTTCACTTCTATGTGCTTGTCCACATTTAATGCACATTTCCGCGCCCCTACATTTTTTGTCTGTGTGACCAAACTTCAAGCATTTTCTACACTGCGATATCTGGTTATTGTCATAGACAAATAAGTTTTGCCAACCTAGTAGTATTCTTGATTTCTTGTTGATAAATATGTCTCTATATAGCTCTCCAGAAACTTCAGCGAATATAGTATAAGAATTTCGGAATGGTATGTGTCGTACAATAGTGATTTCGATTTCGTTTTCATTAATGAATGTATTCTGGGATATGATTTCTTCTTTAATTTCTGCTTCTGAAGGTTTTTTTTCAGCTTTGTAGCCTATAATCTTAATTTTCGGTCTCATTTCTCTTGCTCCTGATATATTGTATTTTCCCTTCAACTTAGTTTCTAGTTCATTTTTGAGTTTCTGGTAATAACATTGCTCAACTTGAATTTCGACGCCGCCGTTTTTATAATTATTTACTTTCTCTATCTTGACTTCAATACTTGCTAGATTAATGTTACTAGTTAGGTCTTTTCTGGTGTCATTATAATGTTGGGTCCTTTCGGGAGTAACTAATATGGATTTTATGTCATTGTTGTTCTTGTTTTTGCTATTGATTTTAGGAGTATTTTGCTTTAAAATTTGTGAGTATGATGTATGATGTACGCCAGATTTTGTTATCGCAAAAATTCACAGTCTTCTCGGAAAGTCCTAAGTAGTTCAGTTTTGCCGATAAGAGTTCGTAGTTAATTGTATCGTAAGCTTTTGAAAAATCAACAAGCAATAAAAGTGTAGCATAACCTTTATCAAAGGCAGTGATGATGTCATCATTTATCGATACAAGGGCTGTCATTGATTGATGATTTGGAAGTAGATTATTTATAGTTAAATAAGTATTAAATTGAGAACGTTTTCAAGTAATCTGGACGAGACGTGGAGTAAACTGATCGGTCGTATATAACTGTAAGGTTTAGGAGAAACAATTTTTGGAACTGGAATGAAAAGTGATTCGTTTCATTCCTTCGCAAAATACTCATCGTCCAGACATTTGTTTATTATATGTGTTGCATGTTCCAAATAAAAGGCAAAACCTAATTTTGTCATTTCAGTATAAATTCAGTATAAGATACGTTCAGCTGACCTGGTTTATGCCCAAGAGCACTCCACGTTTATTCAATAATAATATAAAGAAATACCTGGCCTAGTTGTAGGTCGACTTTTTCTCTCATCACTGAACAGATTTTTTTCAAACGTTCAAAACTTGGAAGCGATGAAATGTTTTGTTTAAAATTTTTCTCGTACGCTGTCTGAACTACTTTTCGTGAAGGTTCGTACATACTATAATTATTTGACCAATATCCGGCTAGCCTTGAACGTCAGAAAAAAAAACGTTCAACTTTTTCGCGTGTCGTTTATTGCTGTGTACTGGCAAATGTCAATAAAGTGGATCGTTGAGGAAAGTCGTCAAAAAGCAGTGGCGAAGCGCACGTTTATTTTTAGCAAATAAGAATTCTGAGAATCGGAAAAAGCTTGATGCCCCCGTCAAAGCCAACTGAGCTTACCTAGCGGCAATGGAAGTTTGCGTGGGGCGCTTTCGGCGTCCGTCATCTCTTGCTACATGAGCCGGATCAGTGCGACCCTTTTTTTGACGGTTTGTCAAATGCTTGTTCCAGAAGTTGTTGTATCCAGTATACAACTTCTTCCCGTCCAAGTGATTGTGCACGCGTTAAGGAATACCTCAGTACCGATTGCCGGGTGGCGGTACAAGTCCGCCAACGGGCCACTTTAGGTCTATTTAACATCACTAACACGTAAAAAGAAGGTGGTAGACAAGGACTAGTCGACCGAGGCAGTACCACCCGCTAGCTTTACCCAGGGTGTCTTATAAATGTCCGCATGTTTCCACACCTAAGCTATGCAGTCGGTTATCTACCAAAACAAAGAAACTAATGATGATGGATCCCTCGAGCACTAAAAACTCCGGACGTAAACTCACTCCACTCTCGGAATGTCCGGGTGGAGGGTGGGCTCGAGGGAACAACATCGAAGATAAAATTTGTTTTTCGAACATCTGCGGGATCAACAGCAACATTGATGCTGTTCATCACTACCTGCAATCCAATCGTCCCGCCGTGCTTTTCTTGGCGGAGACAAAAATCTCAGAGACTACACCGATTAACCATCTCAACTTCCCAAACTACGAGGTGCACTCCAATCTAAGAAAGAACGGGGGAGTTGTGGCTTTTGTCCGCAGCAGTCTTTCCTGCTCCAGGGATCTTTCTTTGGAATCAGACCGGAAGGACATTCTGTGGCTTCGCCTCAACTCCAAAACATCACCCAAATATATTTGCTGCCTTTATCGCTCTCCCTCGAACCATAACCGGGATGACCTACTCGAATACCTCGCCTAGCTCTTCTCGGTGATTTCAATGCCCATAATGAGCTTTGGTTGGGCTCAAATAAGACCGATGCAGCAGGTCGTGCAGTCGAAGCGTTCGCTCTTAGTCAAGGGCTGACCCAGCTGGTGACGAGCCCTACTTTTTTCCCCCGCGTCTCGTCACACGCCAGTAGCCTGCTGGGTCTCTTTCTGACCACGCATCCTGCCCCTTACAGCACTGCTGTCCTGTCCCCCCTGGGTAACTCAGATCACGGTGTTGTGAAGGTTAGGTTTCGGTCAGAAGCCGCTGTGGCAGCAGAAACTCGCACAGGCCGCAAAACTTGGCATTACGGACATGCCGACTGGGAGGGGCTCAGAGACTTCTTCTCTAGCTTTCCTTGGAGAGATGTCTGTTTCACTGACGCGGATGCGTCGACTGTCTGTTCTTCAATAACCGAAATTATCCACGTCGGAATGGAGGAATACATCCCTCACACAGTGAAAGTTCCTAAACCAGGGCCCAACGGCTGGTTCAACAAATCGTGTGACACTGCTCGCCAGCAGAAGATCAAGGCCCACAGAACCTACTTACAAAACCCCACTGTAGAGAACAGACAAGCCGACGTCACCTCCAGAAACAAATATAACGAAGCGGTACGCAATGCCAAAAACCAGCATGATATAAAAGTTAGGCACAGGGTAATGTCGCAGCGCAATGGCAGTCGGTCTTTCTGGACGCTGGCCAAGCAGATTGAAAAGAACTTCTCCCACAGTAGCCTTGCACCACTTACGTGTCAGGATGCAACTATTGTATTCGACTCAAAGGCCAAGGCGGAAGTGCTAGCCAAGATCTTTGCTGCCAACTCCACCATGGACGTCCCCACCAACGCCCAAGTGCCATCAATTCAAAGGGTTCCCAACACTATGCGGGAGGTAACATTCAGGCATAAGACCGTAAGACGAGTGCTCTTGTCGCTCGACATCAACAAAGCTTCTGGTCCGGACTTGATTCCTGCCATTGTACTGAAGAGATGTGCAGCAGAGCTTGCTCCAGTTCTTTCGCGTCTCTTCCAGATATCTTATGAATCCGGCACCTTCCCTGAAAACTGGAAATTTGCTCATGTACAGCCCATCCCAAAAAAAGGATCTAAAACCGACCCTTACAACTACAGGCCTATAGCTCTGCTTTCTGTTATAAGTAAAGTGATGGAGAGGTGCATAAATCGCGAGCTTCTGGACTACCTCGAACGTTACAGCTTGATTAGCGACAGGCAGTACGGTTTCCGGCACCAACGATCCACAGGGGACCTCCTAGCTTACGTCACGCAACTGTGGAGTAAACTCATCCAGTCTAATGGTGAGGCTCATGTCGTTGCTCTTGACATCATGAAAGCGTTCGATCAGCTGTGGCACGCTGCCCTCTTAAGCAAACGTCCATCCTACGGCCTCCCAGAAAAGCTTTGCAGATGGGTGGCTGACTTTATCTCTGGCCGCAAGATATCCGTCGTAATTGACGGATTCTCCTCTTCATCCCACAACGTCAACGCGGGTGTTCCCCAGGGATCGGTCTTGGCTCCAACACTGTTTTTCTTACATATCAACGACCTCCTTTTCTGCACGATCAACCCAATCCACAGCTTCGCTGATGACAGCACTCTACATGCAGGAATTCAGAGTGACAAGCCGATGTCTGCCGCTGAGCTGGAAAAAAGAAGACTAGCGACGACTTCTTCTCTGACAAGAGACCTGGAAGCTATCACTGCTTGGGGACGCAACAATCTTGTACAGTTCAATGCTTCCAAAACACAGTACTGTACTTTGACGAACAAAAAGCGTCCTAGCGCTCATACAGTTTCGATGGACGGTCGAGTTCTACCAAAGAGCCATTCATTTCGGCTGGTCGGAGTCCAGATCACCGAGGACCTGATCTGGCACGAACACATCTCTTCAATAGCTGCAGCTGCTGGGAAGAAGCTAGGCTATTTGTTTAGGGCTAAGAAGTACTTTTCTCCGCATGACCTTCTCACTCTATACAAGGCCCAGATAAGGCCTAGCCTCGAGTATTGCTCACACATTTGGGGTGCTGCCGCCCCGACTACATTGTCCATGCTCGATGCTGTCCAGAGGAGGGCGGTCCGACTGATCGATGACTCTTCTCTAACAGACAGTCTCGGGACTCTTTCGCACCGGCGGGCCGTCGGCGATCTAGCTCTTTTCTATCGCTACACCAACGGGCTTTGCTCCTCAGAGCTCTCTTCCATGATGCCGCCGCGCGATGTGCCTGCCAGACGGACCCGCCTGACTTCGTTGTCCCATCCTAACCGTGTCATACTTCGTACATCCAGAACTGGCCGATACGACCGCTCCTTTGTTCCGAGGGTGTCTAGATTGTGGAACAATCTACGGGAGGAAGCTTTTCCCAGTTCTACTAACCTTAGGCAGTTCAAAAATCGTATTAACAAAATTTCTTTGGGATCATCATAGCAGCCGCGGTGTTCCGGCATTTAGGCTTCTGCCTGCGCGGCTGTTTCGATATAAAAAAAAAAAAATAGCAGAGAGCAAGTTATCAGAACACTTTAAATGTAACAACCCATCAAGATGTTCATCACAAAACCGAGTAGCATCATCAATGTTCTACGAGGATGTCACCACTGAAGAGATCGTGGAAGTAATCAGCAGCCTTCCAAATAAAAGAAGCAGTGGAAATGATGGAATTTCAACGCGTGTGATAAAGTTTGTGAAACGTGAAATATCTTCCCCCATATCAGTCCTTATTAATAAATCAGTGAAGCAAGGTAAATTCCCGAAATGCTTGAAACTAGCTATTGTTATTCCCGTATACAAAAAGGGTGAACGTACAGACCTTGAAAACTACAGACCAATATCACTTTTATCGATGATCTCTAAAGTCATTGAAAAATGTCTGTATAAACGTATATTATGTTTTCTCAATCGCTATGATGTCTTATCAGATACCCAGCATGGGTTTAGACCCTCACGATCTATAGAAACGGCGACCTTTGACTTTTTTTCCCATATATATAGAGAAGTAGACGAAAACAGATACGCTGCTGGACTATTTTTTGACCTTTCGAAAGCATTCGATATAATGGATATTTCGTTTATTGGGGACAAATTGTACTGCTTAGGTATAATGGATTTTATTCTCAGCTGGATCCAGTCTTTCCTCACAGATAGAAAATTGAAAACGAAGGTCAATGGTCATACGTCACCTCAATATTCTGTGAATATAGGTGCGGCACAAGACCCAGTACTTGCACCACTGCTCTTCATTGTATACATAAATGACTTGAAATTGTCTGGCTTCATGATTAATTATGCGGATGACACATCAATCGTCGTCAGTGCCACGACACCGCAGGATCTTCTCGAATCTATTGAGAAAGTCAAAAGTGAAATGAGCAAGTGGTGCCAGTCTAACTGCCTCATTTTGAATGAAGATAAGACTGTTGAAATTCATTTCTTCAACAAGAAACCACGCATGGATATTGATAGCTTTTCAGATCAAACTGTCTTCTTAGGAACTCATGTTGATAGTAAGTTAAGCTGGCAACCACAAATAAATCACATTTGCAACAAAATTGACAGTGCCTATTTTGCAATATTGAAATTAAAGCCTTAACATCCATCTAAACTCACTCTTAGATATGTACTACGCGCTAGTTTATTCTCACCTCACTAACAATATAATCATATGGGGACAGGCAACAATGATTAACAGATTATTCGTCCTGCAGAAAAGAGTACTTCGATTAATTTTTAATATTAATAAGAGGGACTCTTGTAAAGAAATATTTAGGCGCTATAATCTGCTTACATTAACCCTTAACAGGAAACGTGAATTTTTGGAACACAAAAGGAAACATGCCGTCTCTCAGACTGCGAACTTCAAGATGTTCAAAAAATTAGAGTAAGGCGAAAAGCAAGCAATAACTTCGCTGAAACTGATACTGGATGTTTATTTTATGTGTTTAATACGTAAAATGCTCATTTCAAAATGATACAAGAACATAAAAGAAACATTTTTATTAACTATGCTAAAACCAT